TGTAGACAAGCCTTTCATTGCAGATTTCAAAAGAAGGTGGCCAGCTCTCTTTTCTGAGTGTGAGGTCAGTCAATATGTAATGTGTTGATAACTAAATCAGTTTTTTTTTTTTTAAGGCGATAAGATTTTAATTGTAATTATCAACTTATTCCAATGCACTTTGAAATGTCGTTTTCAATTTAATGCAGTTGAAGTAAAATATTGTGGTAAACATGAAATGACCTTAGCTGCCATGAAAATGATAACTTAGGGGGAAATTATAATTTATAAAGGACATCCCCAGTTTGGACAAGGGATACTGTATTGGTTAATAGTTCAGAATGACCCACACTACATGCTAATGTAATGAAATTCATCAGGAAGTAAAAAGTACATTTGAGTGGATAATTCCTTTCCTATTTTCATTAACCCATAATGTGTTGCTTTGTACCACAAAACATTTGTCGATTTTAAACTGTCATTGTCAAATGTTTGTAGGTGGATGCAGAGTTTGCCCGCATCACCACTGCCCCACTGAGATCTAGGTTCATGCAGCAGCTAGATCACCACTCCGCCAGGCTGATGAGAGTTTTCCAAAGGAAAGGAGGAGCCCCCGGACGAAAAATAAGGAATATCATGGCAGACTTGGACAAGGTGTGCTTTTCTTACAAATGTCTGTTCATCAAGAAAATGTTTTTATTAGTTCAATTTATTTTATTTACTGTTATTGTGCAATTGTATTACTTCTGTATGCAAGAAACATTATAAAAGGCATGTTGTTGATGGAGGACATTATTATTAGGGGTGGGAATCTCTTTTGATTCCGATTCAGAGGGCAGCGATTAGATTATAAAACGATTATCGATGCATCTTGATGCATCATTTTTTCTAGGATCCCTGGATAATTACTAAGCATTTAATTTGCGCATTAAAATCCAAAATAAACATCTCCTAATAAGATTAAAAGGACTAATTTGCATCCCTAATTGACTTTATTAACCTCATCATGGTCCGTCATTTCATTAACAACCAGCTGTCAGACTCTAATAATTATCAGGATCTACAGTATGTTTACAGTACAGAGCTGTACACCAGTTTAGTCTAAACTTATACCAGATGTTCTCAACCCTTGACTAGAAGGTTAGTTAGTAATGACATACAGCTGATAATTAATATTACTTCGTTACTAATTTAGCTAACTAAGTTACATACATAAATAAATAATTTTAGCGCCTTTCACAGGACCCAAGGACGCTTTACACATAGTTACAGTGACAGAACAACAAAAAGTCATTCAGAAGTGAATGCCTTGGTAAAGAGCTGGGTTTTTAGTAGATTTTTTAAAAGTGTCCAGACAGGGAGCATATGGGATCTCTGTGGGGATGAGATCCAGAGGGTGGGCGCTGTGACGCTGAAGGTTCTGTCCCCAAATGTCTGGAGTCTGGGGGACAGAAAATAAGCCCTTGTACAGGGGAGACGTTAGCTAGCGCTAACAGCCTTCACTATTCCAGCCGTTGAGGAAACTGCAGACTTTTATTAACACTGTGACCTACACTGCACATTTACTGCCAGACAGAAACTTAATTCTCCACTAATGGTCTGTCACCGTCATGTTCTGCCCTCGCTCTCTCTCACTCGCTCAGCCTCACACATAAGATACACAGAGAACAGCCGCGTGTCGAGTATCACCGTGCTCGCAGTGTGCAAGTTAAAATCAATACAGGCTGTTGTGTGCGCTCCACAGACGGTCCGGGCGCTGCACTTTCGCGAGTTCTGCCTTTTGCGTTCCGTCAACATTACGTTATTAATTAATGTTTAATCATCGATTTTTAGACATTTTTTAAAATCGATTCATAATCTTCCACGTGCGTCGCGATGCAGCTAAGAATCGAGTATTTCTCCAGCCCCTAATTATTATTCAGACAGCTGTTTACACAGCTACTGTAATATACTGTATATCTTGCATTATAATACATTATTATTTGCAAAATATAAGTAATTACCACTAGTAATTGTAAAACACTTGATTACAAGTGCTTCTTGTGGTATAAGAACATGTATCCCCCACATTAATGCACAATTTGGTGATGGGGCAGTGGATAAGACACATGCCTTTGGTGTGAATTACCCACTCTGACCCGTCCATCAATGTGCCCCCGAGCAAGATTAACCCCTCATTGCTCCAGAGGCGTGCGACCTCTGACATATATAGCAATTGTAAGTTGCTTTGGATAAAAGCTGCACAATACAAAAATATTATAACCCCCCTTACACATTGTTCTTTGCTTCAGAATGACGCCATTGAAACAAGAAGAGCCTGCATACTGAAAGCATTAATTGTTTACCTCAACGAAGACCCTGGAAACCTCATTACTGAGTACCTTGTAAGTATTTTGACCTCTGCTTATTTTATTTATTTTGAAGTATTTCCTATGTGGCATAAAACATTGCTTCAGTGTTTATATTTAGATGGTTTTGTTCATAATTTGAAATGGTGTTTGCAAAAATTCTCTTCAAATCAAATTGCTATATATGCTATTTATTGGAAAACATTAGTGTTGGATTTGTGCAGGTCCCTTAAGTTTCTATTAGATTTCTTTGCTAATTGAGCACTTTTAAAATATGTAGTGGTAAATTATTTCAAGCCTGATGTCTTACTTTGTGCCAGAGTCCAATTGTTCTTTTTATAGGATTTGTTGACAATATGAATAATATAGAAATCACCTTACCCCCTTGGGTTAGATGTAGCAACTGAGGTAGATTAATTGGGCCCCATTTTCTATTTATTTACTCTGTGATCATTGTAAAATATTGTGAATTAGATGGAAAATTTTGATTTCTAAGGTGATAGAAGTCAGTCAGTCAATTATTTTAAACTGAGGCAGATGACCAGGTTGGTATATGGTGCTACATTGTTAATAAATGAAATTTTTCACACAACCAAAGTAATTTGATTTGTATTTACTTAACTACACTGTGTGGAAATTGTTGACATAATATGGTTTAGTAAGTTCACTTAAAATGAATAGCATTATAACAATGAAAACCAGTTAAGTAAAACAAAATCAAATGGTTGCGACACTAATTTAAGTCAGTTAAGCTCGAACTGCAAAGTATAATTTAGTTGGTCTTACTAAATACAGTTGAGTAAGGGAGATCCAACAGTTTAGTTACATTTACATAAGTGAGTTGAGTCAGTACAATGAAACATCTTTACTTTGGCATTAGTCAACAAAGTAAACCAAAATAAACAGCATTTTGTTGGTCAGTTTAGTTAGTTGGACACTGACCTATTATTTAAATCCAAGTTGTCAAGATATTGTTGGAATTGCCTAATACAGTAATGTTGGTTGCACATAAGTTAGTTACTGCCATCTTACTAATATTGTTAAATTATATCTAACACAACTCAGCTTAGTGGAAATTGTTGACATAACTGGATTAAGTAAATCCAAAAAATTATTTTTTTGAGTGTGGTAACTGTCAAGATTAGTTTATTTCTTAGTCACTACCACTAGCTTAAGAGCTTTAGCCTATATGATATTACGTTTTTTCTCAGTCGCTTTGGTGCATTTCTCGAATCATCCTTAACATTTGCAAAACAGTAAGTGCATTTCTCGAAACAGGTAGTGCAAACGGCACAACACAGTGGATTACCTGCAAAAGCCCATAACTTGCTCAAAATCCTTAGTCATTGAACTTGACAGTGCCATCAGAACGACAAGTCCTTGTGTCTTGTTTATGAACAAGCAAGTCAAAATGTTTAGCCATCTTGTCAATATAACAGTGTACTCTGTAAGTATTTTCTGATGTACATTTTGGCTAAGATTTTGGTGACAATGATTGAAAATGCACAAGGCTGCACTTTTTTTGTATAGCATATATCACTTTCACCAGTAGAAAGTTATACATTGCAGGAGAGAGGACAGGAATCACAGCTATGCTTTTACTGTTCATACTGTAATTTGTTGACAGAGCATGTCATTGTAAGAAGAAAAGAAAGAGGGATACACCCCTTTGGCTGACGTTCCAGTCTGTTGTATCACAGATTCTCTTCCACATTACAACAGATATCTTCATCAATTCAGGACACATTTACATTGTGATGTTGTTGTGGTCTATTCTTACTTTGTTTATGGTCCTTATTTCGTTTAGCTACAGTATATACTTGTAGGCAAAGGATATGAATAAAGTATTTTAACTTTGATTTTTGATAATGTGTTCAACCATTTTGCATGTAGTGACTAATGCAATGAACTTATGCCTAGATGTTTTGGGGGGTAAGATTATTCAACAGCAACATTAAAAAAAAAAAAAAAAAAAAAAGATTATTCAACAGACTGGTATAATTCATTGTGATCAGCAGGACATAAGCAATTGATAATGTAGGAAACAGCAGACAATTGTACATAATCATTTGCATAATCAGTGTGTCAAGTCATTTGCAATTTATTCAAAAATTTTATGATGTGCACAAGTGACGAGATGATGTAGAGGTTTAACAATTAGTTTTGAGAATTTCAATTCTGATCTGAGAAATGCACCAAAGCGACTGAGAAAAACTGTAACACTACATAAATTAGCCTAGCGGCTAATGGACTTTTACTCTCTTCATAGCTTAACTTACATGTATTATTCATAATATTTCTTACTCACCGCTGGTTAAGTCACTGCATCTCCCGACACAACACCACGGTTGAATTTTCATCCTGAATGGCGTTTTTGTTGAAACAGCAGCTGAAAACAGCTGAGCTGCTCTGTGTGGGAGAATTTATCGTAAATACTCGAATAGGGGTCACTCCATAAAACTTCCAGTGCTGGAATTTTTCACCATGAGAAGATAAACAGGGAAGTTGAGATAAAAGCTGGTATGCTGTCAGGGAAGTGTGTGTGTGTGCAGTAATTGTAGTTCAGTTTTAGTAATACTCACATAGTGATTTCATTAATAGACATGTCACCAACTACTTATATTACAATTTCCTTTAAGTATGAGGCCACAAAACCATTCATAAGACAAGTGATTATTTTTTAACAAAACTTTAATTTTTCTATATTACAACATGTACAAATACAGAAATATACAGAAACATATAAAAACAGTATTATATAATGCTCTTACAACTGAGCTGATACCAGTATTGCATAATGACATTTGTTTTAATTGTCAGCAGTTTTATTAAAGCAACTTCAAACAGGAGTTCACTGAGTTATAAAACTGGAAAACACACAAAGCTGAGATAGAAAATTGCTTGCTGCAGCGGGGCTCCACCATCTCTGCAGCACCAACTCTATATCTGCGCTTGCGAGGTCTTGATGTGAACCATTTGTGCTTTATTCCTGCAATGAGAATTGATAAACTTATACTTTCAGCTACGCTCTTGTGAATACATTTCACAGCCTGTAGAAGTATCATGTGTGTTAGTTACTTTCCACAATTTCTACCTTCTAACACTTGCTAAAAAACTTACCTTAAAAGGTCGACATAGTTCATCACCCAGTTCAAAGCAGGATTGGTGCAGGCTTTACCCTTCTTTGTGTGGAAACTATAGGTTCAAAGGAAAGAACCAAATTTACATTTATGATAGACACCAACGTTATGCCTTATATCTGTATTTTTTTCTCTGGATGAGAAGGAGGAGATTAATATCATTTTATTGATACTCACATGATGGCATTGATGGGACAAAGCTCTGTAATGGTCTGGACTGAGTACCCCTTGATTGCCCGAAATGGTATTTTGGTTGTCATGTAACTTCGACAACATCCATGATAAACTGTGAAACAAGAGAAAATATGATCTGATTAGATACAGGAAAAGAAACAAGAAAAGCAAAGGGAGAGTAATACATCTGTGCATCACTGTCTGATTATTGTGGATGCATGAAACTTAAATCAAAGAATCAATCAATCAATCAATCAAAAAGAAAGAGATGGAGGCAGACTTAAGAGAGTGAACCCAGTACTTACCCGCAGATGTGCTTGTAGACAGCAGACAAAAGGTGAAGAGAGTGATCACCGTCACTGTAGCTTTGATTGACACCATGTCTTCCTCCGTGTGACTCTGAGCTGAGCTGTTGTCTCACTTGTCCTCAGGTGGAGTTAGAGAGGTTGTGATGACAAGCTGTCGATGACAGTGGCCTTATATATCCTTCAGTGAAACTGGAAACTTCCACTCAGAAAAGATTAAATCTGCCCACAAAAGTGTTGCAACACAACAGAAAACTCCCTTCACCTCCCCAACGAAAGAACAAAGGGAAGATAAGAGAGGAGGTATATCAGGATAATGGTACACTGACTTGATGTGGGCTGCAACAAGTAGGTTGCTTTGAGGTTGTACAGGGCTTCTTTTCTAGGTCAGAGGAACCTTTGCTATGTATGTATAATCATGTATGAAAGGGAAATAGTATATGGGGAGGACTGAAATAGGTCAATATGGTTAATGTCTTTCTTAATTGTTCATCATGAACTTTCCAGCAAAACCACACCATGTTTGAAGTACATAACTTTTCACTCACTTCCTGCAACGTGCACTTTTCATATTATGTCACAACATTTTAAGGCAAGGTATTTCTATTTAAAAGCACTTTTCAGACATAGAGGTAGATTCAAGGTGCTGTCCAGATAAGTTAGACACAACACAAACAATGTATGTATGCCTATATAGTGTCTAGTTCATGTTGTAAATCAGGCTTGTGGTCCTGATTACATAAACTGCACAGTACATTTTTCCAATATGATAAAAAAGAAAGCTTCACATTTTTCAAGTCTATCTTACATTAAAACAATGCTCTCTGTAATTGTCTCTCCTCTTCACACTAGTCATGAAGTGATCCCTTTCCAGTGCGACTCAAATGTAAGCGATGGGGGCCAAAATCCACAGTACTCATTCATCTGAAGTTGATATGAGGCTTCAGCCGTCTGAGTTAGCCTTTTTTGTCTTTCAGTGGACATGGGAGTATTGCTTTAAAACTGACTGCAACAATGTGAACCTATCATTTAATGAAAGGGATATTTTAGGAAACCAGGTTTCTGTGAGAACAAGACACCAAGTGACACCTACTCACAGAAAGAAGTGAGAGAATTAACAACCCAGCCCACTCCAAAGCAGTGAGAAGAGCTAAGAAATATACAGAAATGCACAAATCTATCATGTGAAATAGTGCAAGGTCCTTTAGGCCCCTTTGCTCACAAACAGGAGTTGATTGGCTTTCACTGTACGGTTTTTAAGGTACAGTATGGCTACAAGCATAACTTTCCCTGATTGATATACAAGAGTCAGACCTGTAATTGGCCTTTTTAACAGCAGACATTTTGACTTGTCATAGTAGGAAAAGGTGTCAGTAGTAATATGGTTCTGTTCGATAGTGAGAGAGTTGATCAGCATGCACGATAGATAAATAGATAGATAGATAGATAGATAGATAGATAGATAGATAGATAGATAGATAGAGATAGAGTGATATAGAGATTGATTAAACCTACATAAAAACAGCAGCTGTACAATATCTATTTTTGTTGTTCAGAATGATTATTGCAAACTGTATGAAAGATTTCTTGTATTTCTGGGTCAGGGCAACGTTATATCGTCTGCCTGATGGCAGTTAATGGAAAGAGTGGTGGAGGGGGTGAGATCATCTGTGATCAGGGTGGCTTTCCTGATCTCAGAGCGGTGGTCCAGTTCAGATAAGGAGGTTTGTGGTGAGCCGATTATCACTACAGTGGTTTAAATGGCCACCAGGATCAGCCATCACTGATTTTAATATTTACACCTTCTTAATGTGACATGTCGAAATGTTTTCTGTGAAAAAAGCTTTTTAAAATGACAAAACAAGGACTTTGTCTTTGTCTCAATGACTGTATAAAATTTTTAGTTTGTGCTATAATTCAAAATGTGCTGAACTGACTCTCATTTGTCACTACTTTTGCTTGGTATCAGTGATTGAGAAATTATAAAATTAGCGTAATTACACAATAACAAACTGTCTTAACAAACAAAGTGTCTTTTCTACATTGTCTCATAATGTATGTATGCAACAACAAGGTCAGCAGGATGTTATGTTGTGAATTATGGTTTGGGGTTGCTGTCTCGCTATTGTATTGTTTCTGGTTCTCAGTTCTCTCTTGAAAAATAGATGCCATTCGTAATGAGACTACCTTATTAACAGTGGTGTAAGAAGTATTCAGAAATTGTACTTAAGGGAAAGTAGCAATACCACAACATAAAAATGCTAGCATTGCATTCAAAAAAAGTAAAACAATTTTTTAAAAGCATTATCAGCATAGTTATGTAAAGTGAAGGTAAAAGTGCTCATTATACAGGTGAACAGCTCACGTTGGTGTTGTCTTATTGTATATTATATTAGTATCACTGATGCATGTCTCTGAAAGCGGCATTTTAACATTGGAAAGCACGGGTGCATCTAGTAGCTGATTTGTGCACACCTTAATTGAGTTTTCTACAAATGTTATGGTTGGTGGATATGTGCAAATTTCAACCACTTTCGATACAGTTGAGTGGTGTAATTTATGAAAATATATCAGATTTTATAAACTGATCAGGTCTTTGTCAGCATGACATCATTCCAAGATCTTTTTTAAAGGTAAGTGGCACATGCATGTGTCTTGATTCTTCTGTACCAACCCGGGAGGGGATTTTGTACAACAATTGTGGGTAAAAGTACTCCGTATGTCACACTTCCCGCCTGACCCAAATATGCAATGTTGGTACTTCCAGCTAGTTCCTTGGTCTGTAGTGGGAGATTAACCAGAGTATTTAAACTTCACAGCCAGATAAACTTTATCAATTCATCCCTTTTGAGAGTCCAGATCAGAAAACTGATTCACTGCTGAGGAGAAGCTGTGTGAGGATGGCAAAGCTTACTGTGTGTGTCTCCGTAATACTGGTGCTGCTGGTGGCGCTGGGTGAAAGCAGTAAGTATGGCTTCAGCAGATATTTACTGTACAGCATCTCTCAAATATTATTGGTTTAGGAGAACACGCAAGTTGTTGTCTGTATTTCTTTAATTACAGAACTGTTTTCACATTAAAGTGTCTCCTTGAATATGTAACTTCTTCCTCTTGATTTTTATTGACATGTTTGTAATGTCTCCTGTTCAAAGGTCCCATGAGGCTTTGCTGCACACAGTACCAAGACCATCCAATCCCAGTGAAAGTGCTGAAATACTACAGAATCCAGGAGGTCACAGAAGCCTGCAACATCAAGGCCGTAATGTAAGAAAATACAAATCAATGGATCTGGGGAAAAAGAAAAGAAATGTCAGCTCTGCTGTTGTAGTATTGTTTTAACGTCTTCCTTTGTCTTAATACAGTTTCAAGACAGTGAGAAACAGACTTCTCTGTGCCAATCCTGACACAAAGTGGGTGCAAAAAGCCATGAACTCTGTACCACAGTAAGTTAATTTCTCTTTACTAAACACAGAACAGGCATCAATATTGAGTCACAATGCAACAATCGTATTTGAATCAATTTAATATTTTCTTTGTTCTCTTTCTAAATAGAAAACTTTGAGCAGCAGATCACCTGAGGAAATCAACTTAAAGGCTCAAAGACACATGAGATGAATTTAATATATTAAAATAAATGAATCCTCTATTTTTAGTATTACTTTCAATGTATTTCTTCAAATATATTAATTTAGTGCCAATAAATGGAATATTTTATTAATAAGGTACTGTTTCTCTGTTTATCTGTATAACTAACTGGATCTGATGCTTTTGTAGGAATGATTTTATTTCAATTTCTGTACAGCCAAGCTACAAAGGTTTGCTGAAGTAAACAAGTATTACTAGCTTGTAAATCTAACAAGAATCTGTGTAAACCTGCTTGGAACTCTTTAATACAGTCTTTCACTGAGTCAAGTTGATTTTGATATGCATTTTCTTTTAACAATGTGGACAGTTTATACATCAAGTATTGAGTTTGTGGTTGCCGTCAATTAATGGACTTCTGGGCCTACTAGGTCTCTGACATACAGGCCTGACTGGATATCAAAATCTCAAACATATGTCACTTCCTGGTACATCTTGGTAACACAGGCCATGCCTCCTAAACCCGCTAAAGCAATCCTTTAATGATTCACTGGTCACAGTGAGTGCACTCTCCTGGTTAGGTCTGGCAGAGAGAATACAAAGACATGTTACCTCATCAGCAAGAAAAACTTGATCATCATCATTTTAAGTACGATAAGCTGGTCATCATGCCCTATATTATATTTCTATAATAAAAAGATTTTGTCCTATTCTTAACTTTTATGCTGTTTGTTAAATGTGTCCAAATATAACACTAGATCTTTGCTATTAAGTCCACCAAAGAATGGTTTGGTGTTGGCTCACCTAAACATATGCAACCCTCAGGAACAATGTTAAAAAGATTGCCAGAGTCTGCTTATTAGACAACATTCATGTTTTGGCACTGTCCGAAACAAACCTGGACACTGCTTTCAATGTCTCTGAGATGGCAGTTTTGGATATGGGCAGTGAAGAAGAGATAGGGACAAGTATGGTGGCAAAGATGCACTTTATGTTCAGGAACACATTTCAGTTGTGCTATTGAAGGATATTATGAGTACTGACATTGAAAAAATTATGAGTAATGAGTTCTGTTCACCTTCCATACTATATTCTAGTTCGTTGTTGTAGACGACCCAGGTTGTGACAACCTGCAAGAATTTCTACAACCACTGACGGTGTTAATACTTGACTATATTTTCACTGACATACATGAGCTGTGTTCACAAGTAGTGGGATGCAGTGACCATAATTTGATTGTTTTAACTAGAAAGACTAAAATGCCTAAGTACAGAGTTAGGATTGTTTACCACAGGTCATGGAAAAGATTTTATGCTGACTCATTTGGGAAGGATGTTAAAGATTTAAAGTGGTCTGTAGTATATCAGGAAAATGATTGACGATTGATTGGAAAAAAAGTGTTACAACCCAGCTCGTTAGGACAACTGAATTTAGGTTAAAGTCAAATGTTAAATGATTTGTCTCAAGAAAACACAACAAAAGGAGGCTATATAGGTACTGACAAAAAAAAGGAAACAAAAAGGAGGTATTGTCCAAAGACAGCTCCAAAGGAGTGCCACTCACACTATGTGATTTACAAGGGTTCTAACTGACGGAAGCCGCTTAGGCAGGCAACCGACAGAAACAGGTAAATGCCAACACTCAAGAAATTCACTATTAACAGTGGTACACAACCAACAATGAGGCAAACTGATCAATGGCTCACAGTCACCTCGAGCTGCAGAGACACAAACTATTTGTAGGCCAGCTGGTGTTGATTGGCGAGTCCTGGTTGGCAGGTTCGGTCGGATCTTCGACCACACCAATCACAGACGCCAGCAAACAGCAACCAGGAAGTGGGCGGTCCCAGGTCCAGAGGAACTAATACTCAACAGGGACTCACAGCTGGAATTTGCATACCATTCAGAGAACTCCAGAACACAACTATTACTCTAAGGCAGCCAGCGGCGACCGTAACAAAAGTCATGGACAAATTAGTTACATTACTTGCTCCATATTTTTATTAAATGATTACTCAGGGGGACCTGTTTGGAGCTATGGAAAGAGTCTAAAATCACACTTTTATCCAAAGATGGAAAAGCAGGTTTTACTGGCTCAAATTGTTAACCTCTTAGTCCAGAGTTCTCTCTGAGCATGATACTTGAAAGGATATGTTTTAATCAAATATATATATATATAATATTATTTTAGTAAAATTAAGCACAGCATGCTTATAGACCAGGGCACTCTACAAGCACTGCATTACACATGACTGATCAATGGTTAACATACATGGATGACGGGAAACTGGTTGGGGCTGTGCTCTTGGATTTTACTGCAGCTTTTGATGATAGTGACCAGAGTATTCTTAATGCTGAGATGCTAAAATGTTGTGGTTTTTCACATTTAGCTCTTGTTTGGATGAAAATTTTCCTCTTTGGCAGAACACATCAAGTGTTTCTCAATGGCAGTTTTTCTGATGCAAAATTAACATATTTTGGTGTTCCACAAGGGAGTTGCTTGAGGCCACTTATATTTTTTTTATAAATTATTTGCCATATGTTGTTAAAAATGCATATGTAGTTATGTGTGCTGGTGAATCAGCCTCGTTTTGTGTGTCACTAACATTATCATTTATACAACATTTATCATTATAAGGTTGTACAACAAAATGAAAGTTTGTTGTCCCTCCATGCTACACACACAACAGATAATTAAATTAATATTTGAATAGGGTAGCATATCAAATAAATAAAAAATAGTATAGGCCTATACAGTTATTTATATAAATAGGCTACATGTAGCCTATACACCCAGGAAATATGTAATTCAGCAGTGCATTTTTGGAATTTGCATCATTGAGAACAACAGTAACAGTAAACTGCAATAAGGTAGTGTTGACAATATGGTTTTCTTCTTCACATAAAAAGTTTGACATTTGGTAAGAGTGTCCATCCACTTGAAGGACAAAGCATCAATCGTCAACATAAACACAGAGTCTGATCCTCCTCTCATCTTGCCAGAGTCTTGTGCTCTGACAGCTCAGAACTGAGTGCTTGATGCAAGATGTTGAGGGGGCAAGTCTCTGTAAAGATCTAGGCACAAGAGTCTCTGATGTCCGGTTGTTTGGCCAGCCTGAGTACCATTTCAGACATTAGTCAGGAGCAGCCATAAGTCCAAGCTGGGCCAGCATCCCCTCTGGTTGATCTGGCTGGGGGGATCGTCTCAAGGTCCACTGCTCTTTAATCCCAACATCGTGTGTATTTCATTTTGTTTAGTTTTCACGGCATGCTTGACGACATGAATGTCCGAATAAATGCCTGAAACCAAAGGAACGCCTTATGTTCATGATTTAAACTGGAGGGCAGCTACAGTGAGAACTAATCCTGCTGGACATGAGTTTCAGATAAGACTATCTTCGATCAGATAAGACTGTGCATACACCATAACCTAAGCAAGTGGCAAAGGGAGTTCTGGAGCATCGTGTGATTAAGTTTACAAGCAGTAACACATTTAAAATAAGTTAAATGTAATGTGTTGTGATTGCTAAAGCCTTCAGGGTTAAGCTAACCTCATGGCCAAAGATTGGACCTAAGGACTGCATAGAACTAAGTGTTCTCAGACCTCCTTCGAGGCTGTTAAGCAGCAATGTCCCAGATTAAGAGTCCTTAAAGTCCTAAATGACTGTGACGAAAATCAGAGAATGCTCACCAAGCCTCCTGATTGGTTAACAGCCAGATGGAACAGAACGGTCATTGAGATAGAAGAAGCAACCAAGACATTCCCTAGCTTCAGTCAGTTTGTTGAGTTTATTACAAAGGAAGCTAAGATAGCTTGTAATCCGGTGACTTCTCTTCACGCTCTGAAGTCTAGTGATGGTGACAAGGTGAAGATGCCAAAGACTAGAAGTGTTGGGGCAAAAGTGCTGGTAGTCAGCTCTGAAGAGAACCAAGACAGTGAAGGGTGTGTTTTTTGTGAGAAGTTAAACCATGGCATTCACACATGTCGAAAGTTCATGGACAAGTCAGTCGCAGAACAAGTTTGTGCAAATGAAAAAATTGTGTTTTGGCTGTTTGAAATAAGGACACCATTCAAAAAACTGTGAAGAGAAGTGTCTGCGATGCATGTAAAAGGAAGCACCCAACCTGTTTACAAGAAGACCGTGTCAAGGAGGACAAAAAGAAAGAGCAACAAGATGACGAATGAAAGGAGAGTGGGAAACACTCAAAGGAAAGAGAAAGGACAGAGTCTAAACAAACCAATGAAATATCAAAGGAAGCAACATCTAACAGAGTGGTGCAAGACAGAAACACCAACTACAAATCTACAGTTATTTCAGTGCGAGTAACCCAGAAAATGAAATTCTCGTATATATGCACTTTTGGATAACCAAAGCGACACCACCTTTGTCTTGCAAGAGAAGGCAGAAACTCTGAACACACAGAAGGAGCCTGTGCAATTAAAGCTGTCTACATTGTCATCCAGAAGTACAGTTATTCCAAGTCAGAAGTTAACTGGGCTATGGGTGAGGGGTTTTTACTCATGAAAGAAAATCTCTCCCAGTGACCTACTCCAGGGAGTTTATTCCTGCCAACCTAAGTCATCTTCCTACTCCCAAAACAGCAAGAGCATGACCTCACCTAGAGCAGAGATCGCTCCTTTAATCGAATGTGACATTGGTCTGCTCATAGGTTACAACTGTTCTCAAGCCCTGCTACATAGAGAAGTTGTGTCAGGCAAAGACAATGAGCCATTTGCTCAAAAAACAAATCTTGATTGGAGCATAGTTGGCTGTGTCAATCCCTGTGTTGACTATGGAGATGCAACTGAAAGCAGCCACAGGATTATTGTGAGACAAGTGACACCTTTTCTTCAGTCGCCTGCTAACGAAAGAACTGTAGAGGATGCTCACTTCTCTCAAGAGGATCTGCACTTCATATCAATAATGGAGGAAGGAATCAAAATAAAGGCCTTTGCCATTTAAGGAAGACAGGCCAAGTCTGCCAGACAATGGGAAATTTGTGAACCATTTCAAGTGTGAAAGAGATTTGAGAAAGACAAGCAATACCATAGGGATTACATAGCTTTCATGAGTGAAACAATAACTCGTGGAGATGCCGAGAAGGTTCCAGAAGACGAGGTTGACAAGAGTCCTGTATGGTACATCCCTCCACACGGGGTGTATCATGCACAGAAACCAGGAAAGATACGATTCGTGTTCGACTGTTCTGCAAAGTTTCAAGGCGTGTCATTGAATGACCATCTGCTTACCGGGCCAGAATTGACAAATACTTTGATAGGTGTTCTCTGTCGGTTTCGCAAAGATCCTGTAGCAATAATGTGTGTTACTGAACACATGTTCCATCAATTTCATGTGAGCAGAAGACCAAGACTATTTGAGATTTCTCTGGTGGGACCATGGAGACTTTCAA